TGCTGTGAGCTGGGTGTGCGCGTGGTGGAGACAGGGTGCCGGGTGCCGGTGCTGGCGCTGGTGCTGTGAGCTGGCTGCGCACGTGGTGGAGACAGGGTGCCGGTGCTGGGTGCCGGGTGCCGGTGGTGCTGGTGCTGGTGGTGTAGCGTATGCGAGGGGGTCTATTTTCCGCGCGAGAGCCTATGGGGTCTTGCTTCAAGCGTAGGAGAGCTGCATGTGTGCGCTTTTGACCTTGGGTGCTGGTATCGCTGCAGGGCGCCGCTGCTGTGTGCGCTTGGGTGCTGGTGGCGCCGCTGTATGTGCTTAGGAGGTTGGGTGCTGGTGGTGCTAGGGCCGCTAGGGTGGCGTTGCTATGTGCACTTAGGAGCTTGGGTGCTGGTGACGCTGGTTGCCACTGCTGTGTGCACTTAGGAGCTTGGGTGCTGGTGACGCTGGTTGCCGCTGCTGTGTGCACTTGGGAGCTTGGGCGCTGGTGCTGCTGCAGGGTGCCGCTGCTGTGTGCTTGGGGGCTTGGGCGCTGGTGCCGCTGCTGCGAGCGCTTGTTACGAAGCGCGAGCGAAGAAGCCGCGGGAGCTTGAACGCAATGATTCCAATGCTATCTGGGGTCTATGCTGGCGTAATTGGATATTTTTTGACTCGGCCCCTTGTCCAAAGTCACTAGTGTTGTCCAGTGCACGGGTTAAGATGGTTAGAGCAAGCTAAGCAGTCTCCAAGCTGAGCATTCGTACTCGCAAGGAAGGCCAATGAGCCATCGAGCTGCGACACGCGTGCTCCACCAAGCACAATTTATGCATATTCACAGCTCGTGCCACACGTGCTTTACGTTTTGGCTGAACCTTCACGAAAGAATATCCTGGGATTTTTTTGGCCAAGACACGCAAGAACAAAAACAGTCAAAACATTTCGCAGCAAGATCTCTCTCAGTAGTCATGAGCACACCAGGCCTCACCAAGTGTGAAGGTTCGAGATGGCTCGTGTGGCGTTTGTGCAGGCGTGGCCTGATGGAGGTCGCGTGGAGGCATGGTCCCAGCTAGAAGTTGTTGTCCGTGAAGGCCAGATGCAGGCGGACCGGCCAAGCTCGCTCTTGCATTTGTTGTGCTTTTCAACTACTTCCATGCGCTGCCGTCAGTTTTAAACCATGCTGGGTCTAGCCGCTAGCCTTGGGCTTGATGGGGTGGGCTCTTTTGGCAGTGGGAGATGATATAGCAGCTGCGCAAGGTTTCAGCATGGTTCGGCGCATAAGGGAGAGTAGTTTGGCCTTCAAAAGTGGTGTCCTATGCACTCAATTGTCACTGACATGCTTTTAGAGTTCCAGAGGTTCTGGTTGGCACACAAGTTACTTGTGATGAGCAAGACGACGACCGCGACTGGCGCCTGGTGAAACAGCTGGTGCAAGTGCTTGGAAGGCAACACGTGATGGGTAGAGTGTCTGCTGAAATTGGGAGAAACAGACAAAAAGAGAACATTCATGTCATAAACTGTCGTGTGTGTATATATATATATGTATTATATACACATCATTGTGTGTTAACTGTCAAGATTCTCAGCTTGTTTCGCAAGTGCTAAGGTATTGCTGTTGGCAATGAGCTCGAACTACTGCAGTTCAAAGAAAATGTATCGACAGAATGTATCCAACGAATGTGGAAAGGCGGATATTTCTTGCGGAAACTTTCAGAGCGAGCAGCCGATTTGGATCACTTGGAGGCTTGGATTCAAAGCTAAACACCGGCGAAGAAGCAGATGGAAGATGACGGAAGCACATATATATATATATCTATATTCATATTGTATACATATACATACATATCATATATATATATATACACACGCTCAGTCATGAATTCCCTTGTTGTTCTTATTGATTTCCTATTGAGTTCCTTTTGCTCTTTGTTGATACTTTTAACTCCTTTTCATGTCTTTTGATTACCCTTTAAGCTCTTTAGTTGATTTCGTTTTGTTACAAGAGCACTCATCTTTTGGAAGATAAATAGAGTCATGACCGGACACGTGAGACCACGTTGTATCCCGGAGGCCCTTTTTGCACAAGGAAACACGCGCGCTGCTCTGCCTGTGTTTGCAGGTTATGAGCCCAACGCTTTTTTAAGACCACCCAGATCCACAACGTGTGTGGACTGGTTGTTGGCCGCCATGGCGAATCCTTTCTGGTCCCGAGAGCTGCAGGACAAGTTTGCCCTGGAGCAAGCGCGGCCGGAGGACCTTCCGATGGTTCCTGAAGGAGACTCAGGTGTGAGCGGAGTGGGGGAGTCGGAAGAGATGATCCCTGACGCTCATAATCTTCTGGACTTGCTGAGCTTGGACGTGGACCAGGAGAACTTGGAGGAGAAGTCTGCTGACGACGGCGGCCGTGCAATCAGTGCTGGTGAAGAGTTGGATGAAGGCCCACAAGAACTTTGGAGAGACCCTGAAGAGGAGCTCCAGACAGCCATCAACATCCAGCCAGGCTGGCCTGAAATCACCAGTGACTTGGGCGCACGGAGTTTGGCCGGTCCTCCAATGCCACCGACAAGCTGGATGAGGAGACCTGTGGAAGGGGAAGATGGAGCGATGGCATGGCGGTTGAGAGAAAGGAGGCCGTGCGGCGACCATCAAGTGCCAGGTCAGCAGCCGGAAAAACATCAACGGCTTGATCAGGAAAGAGGACGACGCGATCCGCTGACTCGGATGGATGGTCACCAGAAGGCTGAGCGACAAGAAGATCGTGGGGTACCAGGTCAACAGCTGGAAGAACACAAACGGCTCGATCAGGGTAAAGGTCGACGAGATCGCCTGGGCCGGGATGATGATCTTCAGCGAGCGATCGAACTTCAAGTGGTTGAAGAGCTTCGGAAACAGAACGAGGAGCTCCGGAATGAGGTCAAGGCCTTGAATGAAAAGATTGCACAAGGCCAGTACCACCGAGGTCAAACTCCTACACCGAGGACACCAACTACGGCAATGTTCACGCCAATGGAACAGCCAGCGCAGGTGAGAAGGACACCGGGGGGTACACAAGTCCCGCCGGGAACACCACCGCAGACACTGGAGGAACCACGAGGTGAACTGCCGGAAATCCCACCTTGGCCATGGTCGAAGTTTGAGCATGGGCGCTCGGCGGAGGAGTGGTCAAATTGGGAAGGTCGACAACGTGAACGACATGAACAAGGTCGTGAGGTACATGAGTGGACCCATGGGAGGTTGAGTGCAACTGGCAACCCACGTCGAGACGAATGTGGGGGCGGGGGGCACCGACAGGGAGGTCCTGACCGCGGGGTTTATCCCCGACGGCATGAACTACATGATGGTGAATGGCGTGAGGAACTTGGCTCTGCACCTAGATCGATGGAGGCGGAGCATGGCAGGTGGACTGGGCTTCATGGTGGATGGGCATCAAACGATGGTCCTAGTCGATTCCAAGCGGCTCGTCTACAGTGGTTGGAGCGGGAGCTGCGTGAACTGAAGAGTAGAGTGCGGACCCATGAGACCAAGAGTGGAGGACATGGAGTTCCAGCGTGGCACCAAGCAGATGGGTTGTGGATGCAGGCAGATGCGCAGCAGCTAGGCCCTGACTGCATTCCTCCACCTCCACCTATGCTGATCGAAGAAAAGGAGCCGGAAGGGGAAAAAGCCAACTTCGACTGGGGGGCAAACAACCCGGAGGTCCTCATCAAGGAGGAAATGAAGGATGGCTTGAGGGCTATCAATGTCACCCTCCCCAAACTTCCGGATGAGAACACGCCTCAGGCTGCTCTTCGATGTGGGGATTGGATCACAGAGATTGAGCCGTTGATTGGAGATGTGTCTGGTGGAGCAGCACGCTGGTGGACGCAGCTCATGTTGGAAGTGAACGCGGTCTACAAAGTGTGGCTGTCGTCGGATGCGCTGACGCGGCTGGAAGTTGATGTGCAAGTGAAGCCCAATGCCACGAGGCTTGAAGGACGGGTGACAAGCATGCTGTTGGCTGCGTTGCCGTCCTCGATCAAGTCGGACATCATTGCAAACACAAAGCTGACAGCGGCGTCCATCATGCTGGAAGTTATGAAGAGGTTCCAACCAGGAGGTCTTGGTGAGAAATCAGGGCTTCTGCGGGCTTTGACGGCGCCGGAAACGGCAACATCCCCAGCGCATGGAGTGGAAAAACTGCGCTTGTGGTCACGCAATGTGGCAAGAGCGGTGGAGTTGGGAGTTACCTTGCCGGACCCAGTGTTGCAGATTGGAGCGCTGGATTCAATATGTAGGCAGATCCTGAACAAGGAGCCACAGATCAACTTCAGGGTGCAATACTGCCAGCGGAGTTAACTACTGCCGCGTTGACAGGGGATCGCAAAGAAGCACCGGAAGCAAAGGTGAAACAGATCCAACAGAGCTCCGACAAGCCTGCGACCAAGGTGGCATGCAGAAACTGGTGTACTGCTGCAGGGTGTGCGCCAGAGTCAAGCCAATTGTTAGGGCGTCAGGGTTCCTGAGGAAGAGCGTGGAGACCCTTGAAGCGGTCACACTTGATTCGACCTTCCTAAACCCCCTCCGTGTAGTGTTGGGGAAGTTGAGGCTTTGTATTCAGGCGTCCGTTCGTTGTGGTGATCTCCTCAACACCCCTCTGAGTGTCTGAGTGGGTGAGGCGCCCAGGCCCAGGGGGGGTCAGGTCTCATTCGCTGCAAAGACGCGCTCACTGCCCTGGCGGCAGTAACGCCAGGCCATGATGACTGGCTTCCCTGTCTTGTCGACATGTTGCTGGAATCCCATGGAGCCACGTGGAGGGGCGATGACCATTGTGGCAAGTTGGTAGCAGACGACCATAAACCTTATTGCAGAGTCCCGCAGCATTGACAACGGACGTCTCTATGGTCAAGACAGCGTTAGCAGACCTCTTGAACGAGGGCAAGAGCATTGGGGTGACTTCGGACGAGGTCTCTGTCTGGAGGTGGCGTGGAGCAAAAGCTTCGCTCTCCGGTGTCATGATGCACCTTGGAATCAAAGACAGAGCAGTCAGGTTCCAAGAGGACCAAGGTTCACCTACCTTCACCTTTGTGCGTCGCGGACGACGCAGTGATCAACCCAACTCCAAAACGTGGAGCTGCTGGAACTCTTGAGTGCCTCAAGGCAGAGGAAGTGCTGGAGTTGGTGGCCAAGCTGTGCAAGCGATGCTCGCCGACCACTACTGAGGGGAAATGTGAGAGAGCGTATGCAACCGCCCGCGTTTGGAACGTAGTTGTGTCGGTAGATGCGCGAGGAGGTGTGACGATAAAGGTGGGCATAGTGATCCTCTCTGCTCACCCCACACAAAGCCCAAGCGGGAGGGGCATAAGCGCGCCGCGCGTACGCCTCCTTGGAAAACCAGGTATGAGCAGATACACGTGGTATTCAATGAAACCTTCATGGCAAGTGACCATGAGGCCCTCAGGATCCACCCCACCCGAGCAATGCTTGAGAGCGCCGTGCCCTTATGTGGCCCGGGCACTTCGGTTCTCAAGCGCTCGAAGAGCGGGGCGTCAGAGCGACTTTTCGATCCGACGGGCCTGAGCTTAGCCACCCACGAAGGTTTGCCCTAAGGATTCAGTCCGGAGAGGCCCGTAAGGTGTTCCTCCGAGATGTTGTGAACCTAGTGCTGGCTACTGGAATTAAAGTCGCGCCCTCGTGACCTTCAATAGGACCCCCCGTGCCAGGGCAGAGCTTCAAATTGTCCGAAGACGCGGCATCTTTAGGAAATTGTGGAGACTGTCCAAGGAGCGTCAATCGAAGACGCCCACAAGATGAGGGTGAAGCTCCTTCTGCTGTGGCGATGGAAGAGGACGCCATTCGCCCGGTGTCGGATGCAGAGAGGCCTTCACTCTTCGCCCCAACAAAGATGGCAAGAAGCTTGCTTGGGCCCGGGACCTCCTTCGAGCGCGACCCGTGGGAAGTTTTCCTTGCTGCCCAACGTGAAACATGGAGTGATCCTCCCCATCGACTCGCAGATGAAGGTTTGAGAAAAGGACGAACCCACCTTACTGGACAAGTCGGCCTGGAGCCTACAAGGCGTCACACGCCCGCCGGAAAGATGCTAGGCGAGGTGCGTGAAGGCGTGCGCCCCCCTTCGCCAGGACCCAGTTCCTGGAAACAATGAGTGGGTCCAGAAGAGGAAGAGAAACAAGAAATGCGTTAGAGAAAATTGATTGTAGTGGCAAAGTGAGCCCAAAGAGGCATATTACGGTCTCACATCGCCAAGAAGGAGCGCGAACCATTTTCCACTCAGCTCATAGCGTAGATGTATCGCATCACTTCGTGAAGGTAATTGCTGCCCTTTCGTGACCCAAGACAAAGCGCGTAGAATATCATACATTCCTTCACACGCACGTCCTTGGAAGAGGGAAACTCACTTGCCCAAGATAAGGATGGCTTCGACAATGTTCCGCTGACCTCCGTTTTCGGTGGCTACATTCTTTCTGGATCTCCTTTCGTTGAGACACCAGGGGCCATGGTTCAGACCTTCCTTCGAGAAGCGCTCAAGATGTGTGCAACGTCACGCCACCAGTGGGTTTTTGCCCTCAACATCTACCCGTACTTCGCCACGAACAACGTCTTGGATCCAGGGACGACAGATCAATGTACTGGAAGCCTTCAATCAGATCTGTGCTTCTCAAAAGGTTGCAACTTACCCAGCACGATTCAACTGATGCGGCAAAAGATGTCGCCCCTCGACTTTCTAATGAGAGCAGCTGAAACCTTATATGTTTACGGTGGCTGGGCTAACAGATGGTGAGGGGAAAACGTTGTACTGGGTGCACGTACGCTCTCAGCGTGGGTGTTTCCTTCTGCTGCAGACGCAGCTAAAGGCCTTGAAGGCGAAACATTAATGCGCTTTCAGCTTACTCACCATTTTTCTGCCCATGAAACAAAAACATCATAGGTGCGCCTCGAGTCTCAAAAAATACGCAACCAAGATTCGCGTTTTCAATTTGCAAGGACTTGGGAGACTCTGACTCTGGGCCAAACCGGCTCATCAATGTCAGCCTCCATTGTGGGGCTTCAGGATTGATTTGCGCTTGATTCATGCAACCACCCGGCTCCAGCGCTAATTTCCCCTCGCGGACCTGCTCAACACTAAAGCCTAAAGTGCTCAAGGCCACTCGGTTACAGGCTCCTAAACCAGCTCTTCCGGTATTGTTCCCCAGATAGCTGCTGCGGTTCTTGTTTCAATGTTAGGAATAATGTTAGGAAGAGGTGCCTGTGTGAGCTTTGGCGCTGCTGTAGGGTGCCGCCCCCAGATGCGTGGCCGTGTGCGCTTTGGAGTTTAGGTGCGTTTGCCGCCGCGCGCCGCCGCTGCCAGATGCGTATGGAGGCCGGAAGTTGGCGCCGTTGCAGCGCTGCTCCTGGGTGCTGCTGCGATATCTAGCTGCTATGGTGCTGTCGACCGTTGCCAAACCTTGGCCACCTGGGGCCTACGCTGGTGTAATAGAATTTAAGGGGCTTGCGGTGAACAGCGGGCCAGCGCGGGGTTCAGTGGCAGGCAGCGGGCGCCAACAGGTGAGGCTCGTTGTTGTTGTTGTTGTTGTTGTTGTTGTCGTCGTTGTTGTTGTTGCCGTGGTAGTGGGTCGTTGTCGGTATGGGGCCGACGCAAACCAACCCCGCCTTGTGTAAGACAGCGCCGGGCAGCGTCCCACGCAAGAAGCTCATAACGGTCCGCGTTCGAGACCGGGGCCAGCCGCGTCATCACGTCACGTCACCGTCACGTCGCCGTCACGTCACCGTCATCTCACCCGCATCATGCCATGTCAACGTCACGTCACCGTCGCGTCACCGTCACGTCTCGCTTTATCATTGACAGAGAGAACTTCGGTGGCTTTTGCTGCAAGCAACGCCAGCAAAGCTTTGGCAACTGCATGTCGCCACAGCGTGACGAGCAATGTGAGAAGATTGTTGAAGTGTGACCTGCCGCAGCAGTCAGCAGTTTCACCAACCCACGGTCTGCAAAGAAAGTGCTGCAAAGTGAGGGGTTCCCCCGATCTTTCGCAATTGTGGGAAATGAAATGATGTTGTAGAACACCTCGTGGGCAAATCCTTGAGGTTCTGATGATACTCCAGTTGAACATAGCTATATCGCATGAGTTCCCATTTCACCCCATGTTCAAGTCTGGTCGAGTCTCCTTCGCGAAGGAGAAGAACTCCATCGTGTCACTTGCGACCAAGACTCATGAGCTGTGAAGCCCAGCTGGCTGGATCACAGACCTGGGGGGATCTTATATATTATATTGTTTGCGAAACGATTGAACACCGCCCTTAGAAACGGGAGTAGAACATCTACAGGGCAGTGACGCAACGTGGCAGGATGAAGCAGGAGTATCAAGTGGGATCGCCGCCGTTGTGCAAGGACTTGGGCTTTCCGTTTTCTGTCTTTGATCCAGGGGGTGAGGGCTGGGCATTCGGAATTGGAAATTTCGCGCAAAAAGTGTTATGGTGCTCGGTGGCAAACCACCTTGCAATATGACTGGGCCTTACCTACAATAATCGACTGTCGTTTTCTTCATACTAGCGTTTAGTTTTTCTTTTGTGTCGCTTCCCTGGTTTTTAAGTAAGTGTTAGAAGCGGAGCGTGCGCTTACGCGCATCCCATCGCTTTAGTTTGTATCTTGATAGAAGGCCGGAGCGATGTATGCGTCTAGTGTTCTGGTTCACAAAGGGTAGATTGGAGCAGCTTCCAGCCAAACCCAACATGGCTTTGTCTCCAGATGTCCTTGCTAGCATGCGCCCGGTAGAGGCAGGGAGCACGATGAACAATGTAAAGCCATGAAGCAAAAATAAATTGCCCTGGAGTTTATTGTCGTTTTGTCGTCGTGTCAGACAGGCAGCCTCTTACGAGCACGCTATGGATTTGCGAGATGTTGTCAAAGAGCTCAAGCGCGCCAACAAGGAGGACAGCTTGGAAGAGCAAGCGGCGCTCTTGTTGAACCTACCTGCGAAGTTGCGCAAGATTTGTGAGAGGTTGTACGCCAGACCGCAGGTCGTGAAGCTACCACACTTTCGACCTGTCCAGGCTCCCAGTGTAGCGGGAGTCTTGAAGTGTTTGGCCGCTGAAATGCCTCCGAAAGGTCTTGTGTCGCATGTATTGCGCAGCGTGAAGGCTCTCGCGGGTGAAGTCGTGGCTCCCTGGGAATGGGAACCTTTTGGAGGTTCAGATTGTCGTCTGTCAAGACACCCCGCAGGTGAGTGTCAAAGTTGTGGCGGGCAAGGCCTTCACGAACCCCCACAGGTTCTACACGCCTCAACCTGCTACATGGCCTCTATATGAGGTTTGTGAGCTGCAGACAATCATGCTGCGGGATGTCAGCAGTTTGCATTTGAAAGACTTGGTCCTGCGCGCTCCTGAAGGCCCTCTAGCCAAGAAGCTCCTATAGAACGCATGAATGATATGTTGCGGGCTCACCCCAAGCTCGGAAAGAGGCAGTCGAGTTTCGTCGCGACCACTACACACAAGACTATTACTTGCACGTTTTGGTGTCCCCCGACGAGGCGAGATGACGCTGCGGGCCAAGCTCACGCATGACTCGTCCTACATCATTGTTCCTTTTTTAGAAGGTGACGAGAAAACACCTTGGCGCAAAAAGAGCTTTGAGGATGTCAGCGAGGCCATCAAGAACGCCACTGTCTGAGAGATAACATGAGGTCGGTGAGACCTTGCAAAATGCCAGTGTCTAGATCCGCATGCTGCGCGCTGTGGTGATCGGAATAGAACAACTGTTTTGAGTAGAGGCAGTAGATTGAGCGAGGCATTGAAAATAAGAGCTATGGAGTGAGGTTTAATAAACAGGCGATGTGTCAGCAAAGGGTTGAAGGTTTATGCTGCAGCTTGTCAAGCGTGCGCGGGCATCACTAATTGGGCATTTGTTGGGGGAACTTTTACAAGGAAGGCTGGTTCGCTTTTCTTTGGGGCGTTATTTTCATGCCGCAAGATTGCTTTGCTTCTGAACGTTAATTGTCTACTTGGTTTTGCGCTTTATCGCGTGCGTGATGAGAGCGCCGTCATCAGAGACTGGGTCTCCAGTAACCATGCAGCTCAAGTCACTTTAGGTAGAGCTACCTATTCTCTTTTTACTTGTCTTGTTCTCGTGCGCTCTATATCGTAGTGCCCCTTCAGAGGGCCGTCGTTGTACTCTCTTCTCACGTGTCATATCTCAGTCAGTTTTGCGGTCTTCAGCAAGGTTGTTTTTGATTCATTTTGTTGTCCTGTACGCATTCAGTTTGCGGTGGTTGCTTTTCCATTATGTGCCCACTGTCCTTGCTGAACTGACATCGCCATCCTGCGCCCATTGGCCTTTCTGTTGAGGGAAGTGCGCCGAGCGCGTAGATACTTTAAAACTCAGGACTTAGCCTTGCTAGACCAGTTGTAAAAGAACCTGCTTTGCGATTAGTCGGATGTGGATGAACTTGTCGTGCTGCTGGGCCACGCGCGCGTCACGTAAGTATTTTTTCCAGGGCTGCAGTCGTTTTTTGGGTAGTTTTTGGTTCAAGTCGGCCCTTAAGGTGCGCAACTCCAGTTAGTTTGAATTTCGTTTTTCGTTGTGTGCGCTGGTGATGTGTATGTCCGTCACACAGCCCAGCGTCGAGTCCACCCTCTTTTGCTTCGACCAGCTCGTCTAGACTAGACCTATGTCAAGTTTCGTTTGCGCGCCCACGTTATGGAGTCAGGTATCTAGGTCTGCATCCTGGCTACGCCAGGCCTGTTTCAAGCTTGTCTATTATTCAGGGCGCGCGCGCTAAAGAAGGTATGCTCAGAAACGTTTTCGTGAAGAATTGGCAGTGTGTCTACGCACGCGCTCACGCGTGAGAGCACACATAGATTTGCGATTGGGTAAGCCGGTTTGGCTTCAGCAGCAGTGGTTGATAGTGATTTTTGATTGATAGAATGGGCCGGGGCAAAAGAACCCGGGCCTAGACGGAAGATGCAGAAAAAGTGTCTGAAGTGCCCTGTGGGACCGCGTGAAATTTTTCTACGGGAAGCGCAGTTGGCCACTACACGAATGCTGCTTGAGCAAGGATATCTACTTGACGGCAAAAATCGAGAAGATCTACTTCGATGGCTCATGGCATTTCAAGCGCCGAACAAAATGGTGTTGGGGATGGGCTTTTTGAGTTTTGTGTGACGGATAGCTTTGAAGTGATTGAGAGGGTGTGTCCTGAAAGAAAGCCTTCGCAGCGCAACGACAAGAACAAGGACAAGAGCAAACGAAAGCGTGCGCAGAAGAAGAAGAAGAAGTCATGTTTGCGGCGGCCGCGCAGAGCATGAGTAGTGGCCTGCGTCAGTGAACATAGTGGGTGCAAATGTGGGGCCGACCTCGGCAACCCAAACGTTTTTGATTCAACCAAATGGCAAAGCTAAAAAGGGAGGGAGGGAGGGAGGGAGGGAGGGAGGGAAAGCAGCCAGAAGTTTTGAACGCGCGCGGCCGCTCCGAGAAGACAGGTCAAAAGTGCCTCTCACGAAAGTTGAATTGAATGCTGGCGAAGACCGCGTCGTGAACTTCCTTGATTTAGTAAAATATGTTGAGGGTTTGTAGCGCTGTATATACATATATATATATGTCACGAGTGAGTGTCTGTGTAAGTTCACGTTTGGATCGAGCCCGTTCGTGTCGCCGACTTTTGTTGGTGAAGAGTTGTGGGTCTTGATACGCGTGATGAATATGTTTTTGGGCTGGAGCCATTTGACGCCGAGATTCACCCTCAACCTCTTGTCATCTTGACTAAGCGCAGCGGCAATGTTGAAGGCTGCTACGATCCTGGTGCCTTTACTCGAGCGCTTAGGCGCCTCACCTTTGCTGGCGCTCGGGCGTGCGCGCGAGCTGCGATCCAACCAGAATGGAAGAAGGTCGTTTTGGGCTGCCTTACAGCTTTAGGCAGTTCTCTGCCAGCAAATTCAACATTTGGAGAAATTGTTGCAAAACTGTGTCAGACAGCTAATCAAAAGTTGGAAGGGCGTTTCCAATGCTCCACGCGCCATTTCGACAGTTTGGAAGACTGATGTGAAACGAAGGCAATTGCTGGCTCTTTTGGAATGAAAAGCGCCTGGATTACAAGGATGAATGTGGAAGAGGGACGTCCCAAATGGATTGACCATTTTGAGGAAAAGGGAGGGAGAGATACCACGCATTTGTCAATATGGCCTTGAAATTGTCAAGCCGTCCGCGTGATTCGGACAATGTGTGTTGTGACTGAGATTTAGTGTTTCTTTAAGGATATCGCAGCGCCTTGCGTCGCGCCATTGTGTAGTTTTGAGGGCGTCCAGTTCTTGTGGCGAGCCTTTCCAGCAGGCTGCCAAGATCGACAAATCTCCTGCTGCTCCACACGGCTCGTCCATTCCAGCAGAGGTTGAAGTTGATGCCTGGAAAGCGCCCACAGGCCAAGAAGCTGGGATGATGGCGGGGGGTCTACATGGGATGGTGGGTGCTCTCAATGGTATTGGCCCTGACAATGGGAGCTACTACTACTACTACTACTACTCCTGCTACTACTACTACTACTACTACTACTACTACTACTACTACTACTACTACTACCGTACTATACGCCATGCATGCCTGCCAACCATGTCACGTCACCGTCACTGTCACGTCACCGTCGCCCACGTGTCACGTCAGTGTGTGCGCGTCAACGAATGTATCCCAGGTCACGTCACGTCAGCGTCGCCGTCGCGTCAGTGTGTGCGAGTCAACGAATGTATCCGCCCTGGTCACGTCGCGTCAGCGTCACCGTCGCGTCAGTGAGCGCGAGTCAACGAATGTATCCGCCCAGGTCACGTCACGTCAGCGTCGCCGTCGCGTCAGCGTCACGTCCGGCGACCCATCCGTGGACCATACTCAAGAAGCTGCAAGCAGCAATTGCACGGGAGGCTGACCGCCCTGACAGAGGCAAGCCCCTGAGAGAGTTGTCTAACGCAGGAAACAGTGCAGTATTACAGTGGAAGCTAGCGTAGAGGAGGTTGTTGTTGTTGTTGTTGTCGGTGGCGGTGGTGGCGGCGGCGTTCTTGGTGTTGGCGGTGTGAGCGATGTTGATTTGATGTTGTTGATGTTGATGTTGTTGCTGCTACCGGAAACAGAACCAGAAACCGCGCGGGCGGCGTAACTCGCACCTTGGGGCCATCTTGAGCCATGTTGAAAGAAGGGGGTACCCTTACGAGCGTACTACGAAATCATGGTTTGCAAAAACGCTAAATTTTTCAAGGCGTTGCGATGGCTCAGCTAGCGCTGGGCTCGGTTGAGCTTGTCCATGACCTAGCCAAAAGCAAGCGCGCCAGAGAGTCCATTTGGAGGATCGATGGGAGTGGCCACCGCAAAGCAAAGCCAAGAAAGTAGCGCTGGGGGGGGTCCGCCCAAGTTAGAGCGCCGCGTCTGCCAAAGTGAACGAAGTTCGATCGAAGGCAGGGGGCGCAGACCGTGCAGTGGAAGCTTCGCCGGAGTCTTCGAAAGCGAAGCAAAACTTTGCCGCAAGCGCAGTGAAATTCCGCGTCGACAAATTGCGCGCGAAAGCTTGCGCCGCAGCGCGAGGGCAGCTGCTGCGCCAGGCTTTCGCCAAAGACAGAACATCCTGCTTGGCTTTACGCGACATACCAAATTGAGGCAAATAAAATGTATTGTTTTGGCTTTAAATTAAAGGCTTGATCAGGGCTGTGTATTGAGTGTTGCCGCTGTGCGTTGGTATGCTTGTTGCAGCCGCGGACTATTACTATAGCATGTGGCGGGGAGGTCATGACGGGCTTCAACAACGCCTATGTCTTCAAGGTAACTGGGCAAGGGTCGGCGAAAATCTACGTCGCGGCTGGAGTGCGTGAGACGCGGCTTTGACGCGCAGCAGCCTTGGCAACGCATGGCGTGCTACGCGTGGAAACAGGAGGGCGCTTTCTTGTCACGCCCGCGCGCCGCCGGAGCGTGGAATAGCAGACTCGCCCTCCTGAAGGTTATCGCAGCAGCAATCGCCCGCGCGGCGTCCGCCCGGCGGAAGGTAACGCGACAAAGGCGTGAGGAAAGCGTAGCGGCGGAACTGGCGCGAAAACACAAGCGCGTCGAAAGACAACAAAGATAAACGCGCAAGAGCTGAGCCGAGCCCCCAAGACAGTTTCCAATGGTGCCGGCGCCCCGGCCGACTTAAAGAGATTGAAGTTTCCGGTTTCCGGAATTGGAATTTTATACTGCCGCCAGCAGCGACGCTTTTGTTTACCAGTGTCGTTTTTGCGAAGACACCGTGGCAAGCAATGTGCAAACCGGGCCAGTGGACCATCGAGGTGACCACTGCGCCGCCACGCGCGCGCGCACGCGCGCCTGCTCCGTAAACTATATCTCCTTCTGGAAGATCACGGTGGCCAGGATATAAGTGCAATTCTGGCGGAGTGGAGGGCCCAAGGCGCCAAGGAAGGTTTGAGGGTAAGGAAAAATCGCTGGCGGTTTGGACGCCGAAGAGGAGATAACCGTGCCGCGCGGGCAGCTTCGATTCCTCATAAACCAAAGTTCTGGTGGTTTGCAGGGCTAGAAACACAGTTGTGGGAGATTCCATGCTCCAGCAGAGAAAAGCTTCACGCCAAAGCTGGTCCCATGCGCTTGGGTATTCAAGGACTCAAGGATAGGAAAGGTGTGTCTGCGCGCTTTGGAGGCAGGGTTCTGGTGTTACGGTGGTGCAGCCGCCAGATGTGTGGCCGTGTGCGCTTTGGAGCTTTGGATGCTGGTGCCATTCCGGTGCCGCTACCAGATGCGTGGTCGGGTGCACTTCGGCGCTGGTGCTGCTGCATGCCTGTGTGCGCATTGGAATGTTTGGAGAGATGTGTGTGGCCATGTGAGCTTTGAAGCCTGGGTGTTTGGACCCGCTGCGGGTCCCGCTGCGATGGTGCCGCCGCTATCGGGGGCCTATGTTTCCAGCGCTCGACCCACGGAGCGCAACGAAGTGCGCACACACAGAAGTTTGAACGAGTGCGTGGAAGGTGGTTGGGTGCATTGAGCGAACAGAGCTTCACTAAGAATATGCATCCCACTTTGAGGCTTCTTGTGGGCAGCACGGACAGCCTCCTGTGGATCGGGGAAACTGGCTGGTCTTCACCGCAGGCAGGTCCTGCATTGGTGATTTCAAGGCCGTGCCAAGTGAAAAACTTCTGATTCAGGCTGCTACACTAACCGGAGCAATGACATCTTGCCCAGCATTTTCATCAACGCACTCCCTTAACAATTTGGCCGAACAACGCGCAGATCTCTTAACACCATGGCGTGTGGGTTTTATGGTTTCTAGCAGCTCTAGCACTTGAATTGGAGTCCGCTGTGTCTTGCCAAGCTGAGAACGTTACTACTCGAATTTTTTGAAGTGGACGCTGGACATCCCAGACGTGGCGGGCCCTGATCACATTTTCTACTTTACTGCCCGAGACTCTGGTAACTTTGGAGCCGCTTGACTCCCAGTTTTCCTAGCTTTGGTTGACATCGACCAGGGCTGTTGTGCCTTTTGATGGCAACACTTTGTGGCTCAATTGGCCTGTGTCCTAGCTGCTAGCTGTCAGATAGTTTTCATTCGCGACGACACCCAGAAGATTTCCACAAACTAATCTGATTCTGACACAGCTCTACGTGTCAAACAGAAATGAACATCTCTGATGATAGTATTTAATTTAGCTATCGGAGATTAGTCAGGCAAGATAAACTCCGGCGTAAGCCTGGGCAACATTTGATCCAAGATCAGATCCCGACATATCCGTCTTACAGGGAAGTCCACCATATTTGCTCAAGGTTGGCGAACACTTTGGCCTTGTGGCAAACTGCAATTTGGTTTGACATTATTTCAAAAGCTTGAGTTCGCTGATGTGTTCATGTCAGCTTTCCAACATCCACAAATCTTGCTTGCTCAGGCAACTCCCAGAAGTGCAAGCTTCAGTCAAATAGCTCCGAGGAATTGTTTGTATAGGTGGAAAGTTGTACATAAGAACAGCTAAGGTTGTGGACTTTGATTTTTCTCGAATGCGTAGCGAAGGGTTTTCTTTTCTCTTATTTTGCATTTTGCTCTCGCAAAGCGAGACTCTAGATGCTACAGATAATGCGCTTGACCGTGAGTCTTTGCAATCAAAACAGACCTTGAGCCTCCCACTTTAACGAGTATTCTCGTAGCTGTCCCTCTTCAAGCTCAACGCGTTGTTAGTGCATGAAGATTTGTGAGAGGTTTCAATTCACATATGGCCATATGGGCTGTTGCCATGGGTTACGCCTGTGATGTCAGCGTGAGTTGCGCTTCTATTGAACCCATGTAGTGATTGTCGATTGCACTACCCCATGTTGAGTTTGGCCGGTTCTTTTGATAAGGACACAGCGCAACTGCTAAAAGCACAATGTTCAACTGCCAGGAATTCACACAATTGGTGGAGAGAACGCTGCAGGCGTGATTTAAGGTTTTGACATTTTTTTAATGCTTTGGGGCGCTCTGGCACTCTGCTCTATTGAACAGCCAGCCGCACACGTGAGGTTGACCCACTCAGCCCAACCTCCATCAGTTTGTTATTCCAAGTCTTCAGTAACATTCCCAGAGATTCTTGGCAAGACAGATACATTTTTAGCTTGGGGGCGAAATGAAAAGGCTATAATAGGCTCTCTCTCTCTATATATATATATGTATACAAGCAATGTGAGAACCCTGTTCTGAGGGGTGTCAAAGCCATGTCAAAAACGCAAAGTTTCCTGACAATAACATTATTTTCCACTGTGTTTCTCCAGGTTTTTCACTTGTTTCTTTTTTTCCAACGTTTTCCACATTCTTTCAAGTGACTGTCCACTCTACTTTACCTGCTTCCGGTGCGCATTTGTACCTTCGCGGAAACGTTCCGGAAACTTAGCAGAACTTCGTGGACACTTCATGGACCCTGACCATTGGTACTTGCTTTTCTAAACTTTTATATATGTGCTTCTACCATGTCTTGTCCACAACCTCCAGCTACATTTCACACTATCAATGTACCTCCTCCACACTTCCCATGAACTTGTACTCAGAAGCTGTTGGTGTTATTTCTTCGGGTCAGATAGGTCGGAGGTGCCGCACATAGACTGAGTTATAAGAGAAGAATCAGCAAATCATAAATCAAACTACTTTCACTCGTGCAATGACATGAGACATGGAATTAGCGCCATGAAGTCTAGAAAGTTGTGGACGAATGCAGAAACCCCCATCTATCAACCACTAAAAGAGGGTCAAAGATATGGTCAAATGCTGAACAAGTTTACACAGACTAGCAAGATAAGTGGGAAGAATATCATTGGCAACTCTATGGGAGTGAACTTGAGCACAGGTGGAAGATTCAGTGTTCACTGCATTCTGGGCACATCCTACGTCAAGCTTGGATTCCATTCAATGAAGTTGAGTCAAGCTGCAATGTTTGCAAAGAAATACAGCAAGTGATAGCTCCTCGACACAGCCTTTGACTCTGTCTCTGCCTTTCTTGGTGAGAATTTATGTTTTCGTGCATGTTTACATGCAAAAAGAAAAAGAATAACAAATCAGGAGTTGCTGTCTAATCTGCTTCACCGACACGCAAGGCCGAGCTCACGCCAGAGGTGCGGCCCTACATTGCAAATCAAACAGTGTCTTTGTGTGGTCCTCGTACTGTGGGTCCGGTGGGTATCGAGCTCTGGGTTTGATCGAGGGTGCTCACCCGCGCGTCCGGCCAATTCGATGCTGTTTACGGTGCGTTCATGCCTCTCGAGATCTTCGAAGTGCATTTCCATTGCGCAGGGTCGCGCAAATGGTGGCCCGGAGCGGAGGGGTGCTTTTCTCAACTGTGGTGCCGTGCGCATTTTCGCACTTGGTGGTCACTGGTCACTGGTCGTTGCAGACGCACAAACACGGAATTTGGGAGAATATCGCAAGATATCACAAGAAAGCTTCTCTTTGGCATCTTGAACTTGTCTTTGGAAGTGCTTTGGTTGTGAAACGCACCGGCGCCATATCTGCGCTCCCATGTGTGCGCATATGAGCCGCAAAGCTATGACAAACATCGTTGCTCCAGTACGTTGCGCACTGTGTTCTTGTTCTACTGGGCATTGTTTGGGGCCTCTTTCCGGGATAGTTCTTTTAAAAAATGTTTGTTCTCCAAACAGGCTTACCTGTATAGGGTTATTTAAAGGGGTTGCGTGCCTGTGGGTACTCTTGGCCGCATGATTTGGCACTTGTCCCCAACTTGTCTCCCTGCTTTGTCTCCTTGCTCTTGCTTGGACACTTTTGGCCGGATGCTTTTACACTTCCACTTGGCTCGACCTACTCTGGCCCTGCCCAGATACTCTTGTTTTACACTTGTTACACTTGTCTCCCACTTGTCTCGCCCTTCTACTCTGGATACACTTGGCCGCATGTTTTTGCGCTTGTCACAAAGATACTCTTGGCCGGATGATTTAGACTTGTCTTCCACATGTCTTCACTTGTCTCCCACTTGTCTCGGCCTCCTCCTGGTACGCTGGGCCGGATGTTTCAACACTTGTCACCAACTTGTCATCACTTCTCTCTTTGCTTGTCTCCACGCTTAGGTAACTTAGATACTCTTGGCCGGTCTCCGCTCTGGGCGCGCTAGTTTTGGCCGGCAGATTTGACACTTGTCTCCACTTGTCTCCCTGCTTGTCTCCTTGCTTGGATACCCTTGTCGGATTACTCTGGACGAAGGCCAAAAGTTTTTGCACTTGTCTCCACTTCTCTGCCCGCTTGCCCTCTGCTTGGTTGTGGTGGTAACAGCCCTGATTACAGTACCGCTGCTTTTAACCGCAATTAGCTTGTGGTCGCGCAAAGCTCTAAAGCGAAGTTCGGGGCCCGAACATTCGGAGCGCAAACGTTCGGGGCCCCAATCTTGGGAACGTCCGGGGCCCGACTGGTACACCCACGGCGCGAACAAACATGTTTGCAAAGTAGCGGCTAATGTAGTGGCAGTAGTCGTGGTAGCAGCAGTTTGTGCCTTCTTACGGACAGTAGTGGCGACCCAAGCTCTAGAGCGAGGTTCGAACCTTCGGGGCCCGAGCGTTCGGGGCCAACTTCCGGGGCCCGACTGGCCCGTCGCACGAGATGGACATTCAATATACCAGAGGTCGTCGTAGTATTCTTAGTAGCGCTCATGGTAGACGGAATTGTCGTCTGTCGTAGTGGTGGTTGACATGCCATAGGCCATAGACTCAGACATCTAACAGCGGCGCCCTGTAGCGGCGCCAGCGCCCAGCCGCCATCAACATCTGGCAGCAGCACCCTGCAGCACCAAGCCGCCGCATTTGGGGAAAAACATCCGGCCAAGCGTTTCCAGAGTTTGCCGAAACACGTGGGCGACAGTGTCACAAGAAGGTGAAACGGCTTGAGCCGTTGACTGTTTGACAGCTTGTCTCGGTGGTTTACTTCATAAACGCGCAAACTGTTTGGGGTCTACGCTGGTACAATTTTGTATTTTATTTATTGTTTAGTGCCTTTGTTTGTTTAGATAGATTGTTTTTGGCTTCGGCTTCTCAAACTTTCAGAATGTCGTCGGATGTCTTCCTGACAGAGGAGCTTGATCGTTATTGGCAGGACCGACGCTTTGCCGGCTTGTTTTTCATCACCGGCGTCGGACGGACGCTGTTCTTCCCGGCAGTCTTAAGAGAACAGCGGACTACAACGGACTGTGTTCAATATGCAGAACTTTTGTTTTGTTCGATCTTGCACGTTCAAGTGTATCATTTGTATTGTCTTTTAAAAACTATATAAACACATGAGTTTATTTGAGGACATTTGCCCAGAAAATGGTCCTCAACGAATTGGTTTCGAAGAGCGCCTTGATTTGGCACGTAGAAGTATGACTTGAACGAGTTCCTGCCAAGTTCATTGAGAAGAAACTGTTTTTTAAGTTTGGCTAACAGAATTTGTCAGTTATGAGTTATGAACCGTTTATCATTTACTGTATTGTCAGGTGGTTTGGCTGGGTCCGTCCGCGCCTCAGCCACCTTTCATGCCATGACATTGCTACTGCCTTGGACAAGGCCGGAACTATCTGCCCTTTCAGGAACTGACAGTCGAAGCACCTGTGCCAGAAAGCTACGAATTAGTCACAAGTGCCTTCCTCAGATCGAGCGCAATCTTGGAGGTGGCCACAGAGAAGTTCGTTTCCACATGAAGCCAGCCTGGGTGATTAAGCGCGTACATTCACGATGCACATTTGCACGAATCCGAGGTGCTGTTGGTGTGGCGCTCGCCCTGTTTCTGCTTGGCATCTAGACTTCGAATCATGCTGTATCTAAACAATATCTGTACACACGATCTTTCCTGTGCAAAGTTCGAGGCCAGCTTGATGCTTTTGCCTCATCGATTCCTGGAATTGGTGGTGCATCATTCACCTTCTGGGCTCCACCACTAGGTGGAATTCATGTCTCGTGTATTCTTACGTCAACAAATCACAAGTGACATGGAAGAATACCTTTTTTTGTTTTCTCAACTCCGACTCATCCTCTTTGTTTCCACTCAGGGTCGGTGGTGGTTCTCCTATTTGGTCCTGGCTTGCAGGGCCGCCGTGGAGCCCTAGGAGGGACGCTCCAGAAATGTCTCTTTGCTGCTGAACTTGTTCCTCTCTTTCTTAAGCCAGGCTCGGAACTCCCGAACTATCCGAACTCTCAAAGGAACCTTACTGGAACCAGGTTCTGATCGCACCTTTCCACGTGGAACCCTTGAACTAGCTGACCAGGCTTTGATTCTGCAGCCTGATCGCAACTTGTCTTGCCTTCTGGAGCCCATCCCCTGATGCCATCACATTCATTACAATGCTTGGTTAGCCGTGTTTGTTTCACATTCTGGATTCGACTGGTGGTTATAAGAGCCCAATCAGAAGGTCAAACAGCAAATTTAAACAGTTTTTTTGGTTTGCTCCAGAACCTCCCTTCAACAAATATTATCTTTGAGCAATATGGTTCAGCTTCTGTCTAGTTTCCTCCCCAACCCCTGCGTTAAGAAAGACACACACACATTGATTTCTTAAAATGAAATGACAGAAGTTAAAAACATCGTTTGAACAACATGGATTTGACATTTGTTTTGCATTGTGGCTGCTATCGTTTGCTTCTACCAAGCCCCAAATTCCATGCCC